TCCCTAATATCACTGGCCAATGTCTGTGTCCCCAGTATCAGTGGTCAATGTCTGTGTCCCCAGTATCACTGGTCCATGTCTGTGTCCCTAGTATCACTGGTCAATGTCTGTGTCCCCAGTATCACTGGTCAATGTCTGTGTCCCCAGTATCACTGGTCAATGTCTGTGTCCCCAGTATCACTGGTCAATATCTCTGTCCCTAGTATCACTGGTCAATGTCTGTGTCCCTAATATCACTGGTCAATGTCTGTGTCCCCAGTATCACTGGTCAATGTCTGTGTCCCCAGTATCACTGGTCAATGTCTGTGTCCCTAGTATCACTGGTCAATGTCTGTGTCCCCAGTGTCGGTGGTCAATGTCTGTGTCCCCAGTATCACTGGTCAATGTCTGTGTCCCCAGTATCACTGGTCAATATCTGTGACCCCAGTATCAGTGGTCAATATCTCTGTCCCAAGTATCACTTGTCAATGTCTGTGTTCCCAATACCACTGGTCAGTGCCTGTGTCCCTAATATCAATGGTCAGTGCCTGTGTCCCTGGTATGACTGGTCAATGTCTGTGTCAGTAATATCACTGGTTAATATCTCTGTCCCCAGTATCACTGGTGAATGTCTGTGTCCCCAGTATCCGTGGTCAATATCTCTGTCCCCAGCATCACTGGTCAATATCTCTGTCCCCAGTATCACTTGTCAATGTCTGTGTCCCTAATATCACTGGTCAGTGCCTGTGTCCCTAATATCAATGGTCAGTGCCTGTGTCCCTAATATCAATGGTCAGTGCCTGTGCCCCTGGTATGACTGGTCAATGTCTGTGTCAGTAATATCACTGGTCAGTGCCTTTGTCACCAGTATCACTGGTCCCTGTTTGTGTCCCCAGTATCAGTGGTCAATGTCTGTGTCCCCATTATCACTGGTCATTGTCTGTGTCCCCAGCATCACTGGTCAATATCTCTGTCCCCAGTAACATTGGTCAGTGTCTCTGTCCCTAATATCACCGGCCAGTGCCTTTGCCCCTAGTATCACTGGTCTATGTCTGTGTCCCTAATCTCACTGGTCAATGCCTTTGTCCCCGGTATCACTGGTCAATGTCTCTGTCCCCAGTATCACTGGTAAATGTCTGTGTCCCTAATATCACTGGTCAATTTCTGTGTCCCCAATAGCACTGGTCAATATCCCTGCCCTTATTATCACTGGTTTCAATTTCAATTCTTTATTACAGAAGTGTAGGCCATCGGCCCATAGCTACATAAGCTACATTTACATGGCAAAACATAGTGTGTACAGTATAGATTGATAATTTTTAACACCTTAGATACATTGCATGATAGATAAAGCTGGCTAAGTTATTTATATGTTTACAATCTGATGATGTCATGAGGAGTTTGAATTTGGCTTTACTTGGGTTGATACAATAGGTTTTAGGTAAATGGTTCAAGCTGAGCTGTTGGAATTTGGAACACACGAGGAGAAGATGGTATTCATCCTCAATATAACCTTCATCGCACTGTAAACATAATCTATCATTTCTATCTATATTATAATACCTTCCAGTTTCTATACGTAACTGATGTGAAAAACATCTAAACTGAGCGAGTGCTACTCTAAACATTTTAATGTTAATCACATTTAAATACAATTCCCTGGACAATGATATTTTGAAGTAAGAATAAAACATAGATTTGCTGCCATTTTGAAGTGAACTATACCAATTCTGTTCATGAATACATTTAAGTCGACTCACAAATTCAGATAAAAACGAGGTAGGAGAAATAACAGATTGCTGTTCCCAAACAAAACCAAAACCCAAACTGTACAGCAGATCTCGACACTTCGACGCCCAATTAACTTTACTATGATCTAAAGCCATTAACATCATATGATAACATTTTTTTGGATGACGAGAATCAGACATACTCAATAATTTTAACCAATACTTTATTACCCTTTTATATGCTAGGATATATAAGGGATACCGCCCACATTCACCACGAGCTTCATTATTAGTTGTAGAGATCTTAACGCCTAAAAACCGTTTGCAAGCCAATGTGTGCTCAGATTCAACATAATCATTCTGACAGAATCCCCAGACCTCGGCGCCATACAGCAGAATAGGAGCTATTTTCATATCAAATATCTTAAAGTATAATTCATGAGATATATTACCAAGCTTACTTATATTTTAAGAACACCCAAAAAAGCCTTTTTACCTTGCAAAGCTGCATTAGAACAATGACTAGACCAAGACAAGCCCTTGTGTATGTTATACCTAGATACTTATATGAAGTTACCGCTTCTAACTTCCTTCCATTATAAAACCAACTTTCTTTTGATAAAATACCACCTTTCTGAAAACGACAACTTTTGTCTTATCCAAATTGACCTCAAGACCGTATTCTATACACAACTTTTCTAAAACATCGATGCGCTTCTGTAGCGGCCTCAATAGTATCAGATATAAGTGCGATGTCATCCGCAAAAGAAGAATAAATATTTGAATAACATCGGGATGTAATTGAATACCTGGACCTGAACTTCGTTCTACCTCAACAGCCAACTCGTTGATAAAAATCGAAAACAACAGAGGGTTAAGGACACAGCCCTTACGAACACCACGTGAACAAGGAAAAATCCTGACAACACATTATTAAATTTTACGCTAGCCTTAACGGATGAATAGATGGACTGTATCGAGTTAACCATTTTGGGGGAAACACCTCTAGATTTCAAAACTGACCATAATTTCAAACGACTTACACTGTCGAATGCCTTAGCAAAATCCACAAACACACAATAAAGTTTAACCTTTTGCTTACTAAGGTACCTCTGGATAATAGACTGGAGGGTAAAGATATTATCAATGGTGGAGTAATCATGACGGAAACCAGGCTGTGACTCTGTAATTTTACCATATGCTTCACATTGGTCAATGTCTGTGTCACTGCTCAATGTCTGTGTCCCCTGTATCACTGGTCAATATCTCTGTCCCCAGTATCACTGGTCAATGTCTGTGTCCCCAGTATCACTGGTCAATATCACTGGCCCCTGTATCAGTGGTCATTGTCTGTGTCCCCAGCACCATTGGTCAATACCTCTGTCCCCAGTAACACTCGTCAATGTCTCTGTCCCTAATATCACTGGTCAGTGCCTGGCCCCTTGTATCACTGGTCTATGTCTGTGCCCCTATTATCACTGGTCAGTGCCTTTGTCCCCAGTTTCACTTGTCAATGTCTGTGTCCCCAGTATCACTGGTCAGTCCCTGTGCCCCTGGTATCTCTGGTCAATGTCTGTGTCCGCAGTATCAGTGGTCAATGTCTGTGTCCCAAGTCTCACTGGTCAGTTTCTGTGTCCCCAGCATCACTGGTGAGTGCCTTTGTCCCTAATATCACCGGTCAGTGTCTGTGTCCCCAGTATCAGTGGTCTATGTCTGTGTCCCCAGTATTACTGGTCAGTGCCTGTGTCCCTAATATCAATGGTCAGTGCCTGTGTCCCTGGTATGACTGGTCAATGTCTGTGTCAGTAATATCACTGGTCAGTATCTTTGTCCCCAGTATCACTTGTCCATGTCTGTGTCCCCAGTATCACTGATCAATATCTCTGTACCCCGTATCACTGGTCATTGTCTGTGTCCCCAGTGTCACTGGTAAATGTCTGTGTCCCTAATATCACTGGTCAATGTCTGTGTCCCTAGTTTCACTGGACAATATCTCTGCCCCTAGTATCACTGGTCAATGTCTGTGTCCCCAGTATCACTGGTCAGTACCTGTGCCCCTGGTATCACTGGTCAATGTCTGTGTCCCCAGTATCACTGGTCAATCTCTGTGTCCCCAGTATCACTGGTCATTGTCTGTGTCCCCAGTATCACTGGTCAATATCTCTGTCCCCAGTATCACTGCTCAGTGTCTCTGTCTCTAATATCACTGGTCAGTGCCTATGCCCCTGGTATCACTGGTCTACGTCTGTGTCCCTTATATCACTGGTCAGTGCCTTTGTCCCCATTATCACTGGTCAATGTCTGTGTCCCCAATATCACTGGTCAGTGACTGTGTCACTAACATCAATGGTCAGTGTCTGTGTCCCTGGTATCACTTGTCAATGTCTGTTTCGGTAATATCACTGGTCAGTGCCTTTGTTCCCAGTATCACTGGTCCATGTCTGTGTCCCCAGTGTCACTGGTCAATATCTCTGCCCCCCGTATCACTGGTCAATGTCTGTGTCCCCAGTATCACTGGTCAATGTCTGTGTCCCAGTATCACTGGTCATTGTCTGTGTCCCTAATTTCACTGGTCAATGTCTGTGTCCCCAGTATCACTGGTTAATGTCTGTGTCCCCAGTATCAGTGGTCAATGTCTGTGTCCCTAATATCACTGGTCAATGTCTGTGTCCCCAGTATCACTGGTCAATATCTCTGCCCCCAGTATCACTGGTCAATGTCTGTGTCCCCAGTATCAGTGGTCAATGTCTGTGACCCCAGTATCACTGTCAATGTCTGTGTCCCCAGTATCACTGGTAAATGTCTGTGTCCCTAATATCACTGGTCAATGTCTGTGTCCCCAGTATCACTGAACAATATCTCTGTCCCTAGTATCACTGGTTAATGTCTGTGTCCCCAGTATCACTGGTCATTGTCTGTGTCCCCAGCATTTCTGGTCAATATCTCTGTCCCTAGTTTCACTGGTCATTGTCTGTGTCCCCAGTATCACTGGTCAATGTCTGTGTCCCCAGTATCACTGGTCAATATCTCTGTCCCCTGTATCAGTGGTCATTGTCTGTGTCCCCAGCATCATTGGTCAACATTTTTGTCCCCAGTATCACTGGTGAATGCCTCTGTTCCTAATATCACTGGTCAGTTCCTGTGCCCCTGGTATCACTGGTCAATGTCTGTGTCCCGAGTATCAGTGGTTAATGTCTGTGTCCACAGTATCACTGGTCATTGACTGTGTACCAAGTATCACTGGTCAATATCTCTGTCCCCTGTATCAGTGGTCATTGTCTGTGTCCCCAGCATCACTGGTCAACATCTTTGTCCCCAGTATCACTGGTCAGTGTCTCTGTCCGTATTATCACCGGTCAGTGCCTTTGTCCCCAGTATCACTGGCCCATGTCTGTGTCCCCAGTATCACTTGTCAATATCTCTGTCCCCCGTATCACTGGGCAATGTCTGTGTCCCCAGTATCACTGGTAAATGTCTGTGTCCCTAATATCACTGGTCAATGTCTGTGTCCCCAGAATCACTGGTCAATGTCTGTGTCCCTAATATCACCGGTCAATGTCTGTGTCCTCAGTATCAGTGGTCAATGTCTGTGTCCCTAGTGTCACTGGTCAATGTCTGTGTCCTTAATATCAATGGTCAGTGCCTGTGTCCCTGGTATGACTTGTGAATGTCTGTGTCAGTAATATCACTGGTCAGTACCTTTGTCCCCAGTATCACTTGTCCATGTCTGTGTCCCCAGTATCACTGATCAATATCTCTGTACCCCGTATCACTGGTCAATGTCTGTGTCCCTAATATCACTGGTCAATGTCTGTGTCAACAGTATCACTGGTCAATGCCTGTGACTCCAGTATCACTGGTCAATGTCTGTGTCCCCAGTATCACTGGTCAATGTCTGTGTCCCCAGTATCACTGGTCAATATCTCTGTCCCCAGTATCACTGGTCAATGTATTTGTCCCTAATATCATTGGTAAATGTTTCTTGTCCCTTAGCATCAAAGGTCGCCCTCGTGTCCTACGGTCATATCAATCGTCTGTGTCCCTAAAGTATCAGCGGGTTCGCGTGTGTATCCTACTATCACTGGTCAATGCCCGTGTCAGTATCATCAAAGTTGTGGTCCCCGGTATCAGTGGTCAATGTTCGTGACCCCAGTATCATTGGTTAATGTCTGTGTCCTCAATATCGTAATTGGTCAATATGTCTGTCCCCAGTATCACTGGTCAACGCCTTGGTCCCCTAATATCATTGGTAAATGTTTCTGTCCCCAGTATCAAAGGTACGCCCAGTCCCTACTACCACTGGTCAATGTCTGTGTCCCCAGTATCAGTGGTCTATGTCTTGTCCCTAATATCATATCACCGTCTGTGTCCCTGTGTATCAGTGGTCAATGTCTGTGTCCCCAGTATCACTGGTCCATGTCTGTGACCCCAGTATCACTGGTCAATGTCCCCAGTATCTGTCCCCAGTATCAGTGGTCTATTTTGTCCCCAGTCTGTGTCCCTAATATCACTGGTCAATGTCTGTGTCCCCAGTATCAGTGGTCAAAGTCTGTGTCCCCAGTATCACTGGTCAATGTCTGTGACCCCAGTATCACTGGTCAATGTCTGTGTCCCCAGTATCACTGGTCAATATCTCTGTCCCCAGTATCACTGGTCAATGCCTTTGTCCCTAATATCATTGGTAAATGTTTCTGTCCCCAGTATCAAAGGTCAAAGTCTGTGTCCCTACTACCACTGGTCAATGTCTGTGTCCCCAGTATCAGTGGTCTATGTCTGTGTCCCTAATATCACTGGTCAATGTCTGTGTCCCCAGTATCAGTGGTCAAAGTCTGTGTCCCCAGTATCACTGGTCAATGTCTGTGACCCCAGTATCACTGGTCAATGTCTGTGTCCCTAGTATCACTGGTCAATGTCTGTGTCCCCAGTTTCACTGGTCAATATCTCTGTCCCTTGTGTCATTGGTTAATGCCTGGGTCCCAAGTATCACAGGTAAATGTCTGTGTCCCTAATATCACTGGTCAATGTCTGTGTCCTCAGTATCAGTGGTCAATGTCTGTGTCCCCAGTATCACTGGTCCATGTCTGTGTCCCTAATATCACTGGTCAATGTCTGTGTCCCCAGTATCACTGGTCAATGTCTGTGTCCCCAGTATCATTGGTCAGTATCTCTGTCCCTAGTATCACTGGTCAATGCCTTTGTCCCTAATATCATTGGTAAATGTCTCTGTCCCCAGTATCACTGGTCAATGTCTGTGTCCCCAGTGTCACTGATCAATATCTGTGTCCCCAGTATCAGTGGTCAATGTCTGTGTCCCTAATATCACTTGTGAATGTCTATTTTTACAGTGTCACTGGTCAATATGTGTGTCCCCAGTGTCACTGGTCAATGTCTGTTTCCCCGGTATCACTGCTCAGTGTCTGTGTCCCTAGTGTCACTGGTCAATGACTATGTCCACACTATCGCACAGTATCTCTGGTCAAGGAGAAAGGAACATAATTGGCATGCTGAGGGTAAAAGAATGAGTTAGTCTACACACAGAAAGACCGTTTCTGTTTTACCACTGGAACTAATTGAAAAATAACCCCAAAGTGTTCTTGGGTTGAACGACCTACCGAACTGCGGTACAACATTAGAACTGATCTTCAGCAACCCATGCAAGTTCTAAGAGGCGAATATCGATATGGGGTACTCAGACTTGGTATCCTGATTGCAAATGTCGATGGTCATGATGTCAATCACTTATATCTTATCAGATATCATTCTAAACGTTGAGCGAGTCTTCAACAATCGCCGTTGTGGACACTAGAAATGTTCCATGTGGGAATCGAACCCGAATCTTAGGCGTTACGGGCAAACACTTAAACCACCAGACTTCAACACAACTCACAGCTCACATGACGCTATCACTACTGCGTACTGTCGATATAATGTAGATAACAAGTTTTTTACAGATCGGCATCATATAGCTGGAATATTGCTTAGTGTGGCGTTAAACAACAAACCGACTTATATTTATCAACAAATCACATCCTTGGCGTCACAGATCGTATGCAAAGACATTTCATACTGTACGGCACATGGCAGGTTCATTGACTGATATTTTTGACTAGCATTTTAGAACTAAATAAATATAAAATAAAAAGACATCATTCATTTTGGAAGACAACTTCTTAATTATATTACTGATTCGACGTTTCGGTAAAGATCCTTATACCGTGTGTCAACCGTTGTAACTCTTGCTTGACAGCGGTGTAAGAATCTACACCGAAACTTTGCATCATACCATTACAAAGAAGTACCGGTTATACCGGTAAATATGAAATGATTGTCGCACAGCTGCTATCTACTTAATCACTGTATAGGCACTATCAAAGTACTATCTTGAATGCTATTCCCTAACTTTCAGCATATGTCCTCATCCATTGTGGTGTCCCGGAGGCTGAAAGCTTGCTCATGCTATCAATCACTGGTTTGTCTTGCCAAGATTCAGACATTTACAGACTGTTATGTTGTCGCTGTCACAGCTGACAGTTGCGTTAATCACACTCACTAACTCACCTGTTCAGTTATGCTCATGAACGTCCGTCCCTCCATTCAGTCCCCTGTCCGTCCGCCGCATCAAAGACCAGCTGCTGCAACTAGAGAGAGCATTCTTGGATCCTAACGGAATCCCAGGCAGATCCTATTTCGGGAAGAATCAGGTTCATTCTCTGATTCAACTTTAAACTATACGTAGATGTATTTCTCAGCCAGAACTTCATGAAATGTTCTCAAAAGATAACACAATATTTTATTTTATGCCAGACGATTTTTGGAGGTAATTAACTGGACGTGTCCATTTTCGACGTTTACATTCAGATAAATATCGGAACATCTAAATTCAAATATTATATATATATAAAAGTATGATAAGACATATTTATATATGTGTGTGTGCGTGTGCTTTGTTTCAAATGGGGTGGTATTTTAACATATAAATAATAGTGACTGGCTGCATATATATTAACTTATACTGACTGATTGCAGAGGAATGGCTGGGTTGTCCCAAATGAAAAGACACTGAGAGTGACTTGTTTTACAATCTAACTGTTCTTTTTCAGACACATCCTGTTCGCCCCCAGCAGTGTCAACAGCTATGCAGGGCCGTCATTCCTTGGTCTCACCGATCTGCTCTTTGAGATTAACAAATCAGCGGATCCGGCGAAACAATGGGAGAGAGTCAAACAACACTTCTCGGTCATATTGTTCACCATCCAGTCAGCTGCCGCGACTCTCAGAGACCTAGCCCACTTCCTTTGATATTGAATAAAATTCCTAGCATGCTTCAAGATATTGTGCAACATGATTCTAGTCACAAAGTTGGGTGAGATTTTGGTATTGATGATGTTGGCATATAGCAAAACCATTTCTTTTAAACTTAATATATTAAACTACCGAATTGTTTTGATATATGTCCAAAGTACACCGAAAATCGGGCAAGACCGTAATTCTCAATCCTATCTGTAAATCAGTTATCACATGGAGTAATGACCCTGTCTGTAAATCCCGACTGACATGATCAGTCGGAGAGACGGTCTCCAGTCTGGGAAACTGAAGTTATCATCGACAGAAGCAGACGGATTGTGCGGCTGGTCGTGGCGTCGGCCAAGGCCGTCGTCTCACCAACGACTACGTAGACGATGAAGAATAGACGTCTGACTCCTGCATGTGTGTATGTGACAGAGCGGGTCTCCGGTCACGTTCTGTCACGTTATTACCATTATGTACCATTTCGACCTGTATTCCCCCAACAACAATAAACATGGCTGCTGTCGTCTTCGTCTTTTGTCTTCTGTCCGTCAATCACCCTGGACTACTAACCAAGAAGGCACTAATACGAAGGCTCTTGGACAATATAACAAAAACACACATCAATCCAAAAACATTGCAATATTTCGGCAATGACGGAGTAGCCTTGGAGTTAAAGCGTTCCTCGTAAAGCCGAGAACATTATGATTTGTCAACATGTGAATATCACTCACAAACATACCACACACAATACAATGGAAACTCCCTTGTTGATAATTATTGTGGCCTTTAGTACCCCTTTTTGACTTCTTTACACTATTTTCCATAAAAATATTTTTTGCATTTTGTAAGGGGGTTAATGTGATGCTGCGGTGGATCTGTTGACTGTTCCTGTGCTCGACGCCGTTTATGTTTACCCCCAGACCGGAATATGACCGTCTGTGACGCGCTACAAGAACGCGCGGTCATCCTAAGGGTTGATGTTCCTGTATGTCCTAAAGATTCCTGACACGTCTCACTAATCACCGATTCAAACGGAAAGATGTCTCTGTGCCAGTCCGAACGTAGGCAAACGATCAGACGCCCGGCAGCTTTGTGGGCTTAGGTGCATTAATCATACCTATAATTGCTGCTTTGTTTTCATAGAGTATATATGATATCAAAATACAACGATGCATTACCTTCAGGATATGAGCGAGTGAGTTGGATTTTACACCGCCTTTAGCAATATTATAAAATAATTCACTTGTATAGCGCCTAATTTCCAAGCTAGGCCTGCTATAGTTTTGAGGAAAGCAGTGGAAAAGAGTTAATGGCTAAACAAAAATGTTTTTAGAGACTTCTTGGAGGATTGAAACAGAGTCCACAGAGTTGAAGTCCATTGGGATGGAGTTCCAGAGTCGAGGAGCATATACAGAGAAGGCATTTTCAGTGAGTTGAGTAGACGTTGATGGGATGGAAAGTTGCTGCTTGGTTGAGGATCTGAGAGTTCTTGCGGGCTGGTACAGATTAAGAAGGTCTTTGAGATACTGTGGTGAGGAGTCCACATTTAGTGTGGAGTACGTGAAAAGAAGACGTTTGAATATGATACGATGCTTTAAAGGAAGCCAGTGGAGTTGCCTTAGGATGGGTGAGATGTGTTCAGTTGGGCGAGTACGGGTGATTATTCGCGCTGCTTTGTTCTGGATTCGTTGAAGGTGCGAGATGACAGTTGATCCGGACAAAAGGGAGTTACCATAATCTAATCTTGATGTGACAAAGGAATTCATGAGAGTTTTGCATGTGTCCGTATCAATGTACTTGCGGATTTTGCCTATTTTGCTGAGATGGTAATTTGCAGTTTGAGCGGTTTTGAGTGCCTGAGCAATATTCCAGCAATATCACGGCGGGGGACACCAGAACACATATTGTACCCATGTGGGGAATAAAACCCAGGTCTGTGCAAATGTTTTAAGCGCAAGGCTACCCCACCGCCCCGTCGAGATCTGGCTGAGGTATGTTATTAATGTTTTCAGGCAATACATTGTGTAATGCTTGAACACTCACATCAGGCTACAATCCCATCTGACTACACAGCGGAACGACATAATTAATTACTTGCTGAGTTCAAGGGGTACTGGGAACAATCCCATCTCTCCATTGTGTCATCCTAAGGTCATGGTTCAACCATCTGATACGTGGTTTATCATCCAGTAGATACAACATGTGTAGATACAAAATTAGAAGAGGAATGTAAAGGTGTATATTGTATGCCGAGTCCGTGGAGTTCCTTGGGTTAGTGGTTTGGAAAACATTCCAATATCTGAACATTTTGCGACTTTCCACAAATGTCATCACACGAGGGATTTTCATCGAGCAATGTATTCCAGTGTAATGAGTGCGTGAGTGAGTTTAGTTTCACGCCGCATTTAGCAATAATCCAGCAATATGACGGCGGGGGATACCAGAGATGGGCTTCACACAATGTACCCAAATGGGGAATCGAACGCGGGTCGGCATGACGAGCAAACGCTTTAACCACTAGGCCATCCGACTGCCCTCCAAGATGATAATCTCCTGGCCAAGTTGGGCGCTTTGCACATTACAATGCATACTCTATTTACATGGAGAATAATGTTAGTTAATATCAGTAGGTTACACTTCTTAGGGATTCGGAAATGTTTCATATGGATATATTTTTGCTTGATGTAATTTAAAACACCATTCCTTCTGTTGTCTTTGTCCTCATAAATTGGTCGATTCTGCAAATTCTGAACAAATCCAGTTTTAAAATAAAACCGATTGATTTGTACATATCAGTGCATGAAACGTGATATTTATTTACAGGCTTGGGACACAGACTTTGGTTTGACTAGTTTATTCAAATCATCCGAGGACAGTAGCTGAATAGCATGAACATTACCATTGCATTTTGAGACAAACGACACCCCTGGAAAAAAAAAATAATATGTCCGTTAATCAATGGATTTAGAGTCACCATCTCTTGTCAACTTGAGTGTTCATTCCACGTACATTAGTCTCAAGCGTTGTTATGCCTAGATACACACACTCTTTCACCACGATGTTAAATCTGGACCCGATGAGTGAGTGAGAGTTTGGTTTAACGCCACACTGAGAACCAACAACAACTGTATCGCAGTATGTAAGCTTGGGTGAAAAGCCATAGATGTATTCTTAGCTTCCTTGGTAAGCCCCACCACGGATCTGGCGCCTTCGGAACAAAACAATTAATCTGGTCGAAATTGGGATTCGAACCCACTAGTTTCCCTTCCAAAGCAAACGTACATATAGTGAATTTACGACACCCCAGGCAACTAGGGTCACCTGTACACTGGTGTGAAGATTCACATAAACTGGTTTTTGAAGTTGAATGCACTCAATAGCGTCACTTACAGAGTGGAACGAAATACGTAATGCGCAAACACGGACAAGACACGCGGTCTGTGATTCTACAAAGCGTTTAACAATTTAGATACTATTTCAGGCGAGATAATGGATAACGTCATGAATATGTTCGTTGGAGATAAAAGCGCCTGATCATAAAAGACTTAATTACTCAAGTTTTTAAATACAGGTATTGGGATCCTCGTTTTTGCAACGAAACTCAATTGTGACCTATAAACACTGCACCCAGGTAATATTATACCATATCGTCATGATAGAGTTGAGTTAACAGCTATCACTGAATACAACACAAACAGGAACCAGTCTGGAAAGCACACTGATCAACTCCTCTGTATTTGACAACTCCCCGGTGTTTGAAAAATTCAATTCATCGTCAGCTGTAGAGACTAGACTGTAGTGCAACTGACTGACAGGTGCTTAGAACAGTGCATCCGACATACTCAATCATACGTGTATGCTGTCACTATGAGCCGTTCCTCTGAACGTGGAACCAAGAAGAAACATGAGGGTGGTGATGAGAAACATCGTGATGAAGGTCAAGCGTCTTTTACCCCCATGGACAGTGTTCACGGACCAAATGATAAAGGTAAATATAAGAATGGAATCTCTAAAAGTGAAAGACTTCCTTCCATGTCACCCCTCCAAAAGTTCTATATTCACTAGCCGCAGAGTTGAAAGGGGCACTGCATCATCTTATCTTCCTTTATCTCGTCGATTATATTTATTCCTTCCAATTGCCGCTCAATTTCAACATTGCATATTTCTGTGCAATGGGTGACGGCTAAATTTCAATATGAGTTTATTTTTTACGCCGCAAGCAATATTCCTGGAATATTGCTGAGTGCGGCAGAAATGTAAACTCACTCCAGAAATGGTATTCATCGTTGGGGGAGCGGCTTCAATGACTGGGCTATGATACCGGACATAAGTCTATGGGAATGGACCGGGATGAAGGTGAACCTTTTAATAACGAGTGGCTAGTGAAATGTACACATACATGTATTGTTATTGCTGATTAAACTTGAAAACACACTATCTGTTCTCGAGAAGCACATATGAAGGATAATATATTTAAGTTTGAAGACCATTTGAGGAAAGTTCAGGTGACCGAGTCGAGCTAAACTCTAGATGTGGTTTTTCAGACTGTTCAAAATGCAAGACCGTTGTAAGTGGTATGGAGACCTCACAGCGTGTCCTATCGATGCATGTTGACATCAGAAGCATCTGTCCGCCAACGGATAAAGATTCCAATGGAACAAAGGCAAGCTCGTCCAAGAACAGAAAACTGGACAAAGAGCAGGAAAAGAAAGAAAAACAAGAAAAGACTGAAAGAAAAAACAAGGAAAAAGAGCGTATTTTTGAACATATTTGTGCACTGAGAAACTCAAACGGTGGCATCTTGCTGATATATTTTACACATATGGATGACAGCGACACGTCTCTTGCACTAGTTGACGAACTGATTGATGATAGGCTAAATGAACTAATTGAGGATGGCGTCTTATTCCATGATAGTTACTCCAGAAATTGGCTGAAAGGAGAACCAAACTGCCTCTCGATCACATGCAACTCTTCATCAACTATATCTACCGTAAACTACAACACACACATCAACCTCAACAAAGGCCTTGCTAGACCCACAGTGTTGAACATGCGTTACATCCTGAGTAAAGACAGATCAGGTGGAGAGTATGAGAAGAAGTCACTTCATGGGCTGCAAGAGGCCAGCAACGTGCAACTAAAATCCTTCCCACATGCCGACCAGGTGGCCAGGACTGATTGGGCACCCTACATCATGGACAAACTTCGTCTGAGGGAATACATTTCATCCTTTGCAAACCAGAAAGGAGGCGGGTATTATTTCCTAGGAATTGCTGAACAAGATCGAACAAGGCGCACCTACAACTCAAGAAAGGTATCCATTGAAGGATTTGAACTGAAGAAGGAGCTTCATGAGACTCTCAAGTCAGATATACTGGACCAAATTGCTTCGAAGATTTTGTTTCTTACCCCGGAGTTTGCCACTGTTAGCAGAGATGTGATCACACAATCACTGAAGTTTACGTTCCATAAAGTGAAACGTCATGAAGACATCTATGTTCTTGAGATATATGTGCCTTCCTTCAGAGGAGTTGCGTTCTTCGACAGTGATGGTCCAGAGTCCTACCGTATAAATGAGAACAATTGTATCCAACGTGTCGTACCACAGGAATGGTGTCAGAAGGTTCGGGAGCATCCTACAATGTAAATACTTTGAGACAGTGGCATCCATTACCAGATGTGTATTTACCCTGGTTTCTTCTGTGTGGCGTCTGTGGACAATAATTCATTACCGAACTCTGCGATACTCATGATTCATTTATATGTTATATTCTTCAGTAATATTGAATAATGAGTATCATGTTGAATTACATTTCACACATTTCATGTAGATTGATAGATAGATAGATAGATAGAAAGAAAGAAAAGTAAATGACAAGTCACCTCTTTGATTGTGCTTTGAGTTGGTAGTAATTCTACGTCTGACAAAACCCGCTGAAAATAAAATGTCGAAATAAACTACTAGGCAAAAGAAAGTAATTCTTCATTTGATCACAAAATAGAAACGAAGACGTAAATGAGATTTATGATAATTGTTTTACAAACGGAAATCATGTTTAAGCCACATGCTTGCTCTGTCCAACATCAGTATCTATGACACAATCATACACGTGCATTTGCACCAATTCCCCACAATTACGTTTATCGCGTTTTGTAGAATTCACGATTCGTACGAGGTTTTCGAACAGCTGCGTTGTTATTGTAACATTGTTGCGTTTTTGCTTGGGTTCAAACCTGTACCAACATTATTGTTTTGTACACAGTTACTTTAAAACTGATAACTTTCTTTTGGACGGTACTTTAAATAACAATAGGAAATAAAAATCTCGCGCCGGATAAAAATGTGTATCTGAATAGAATTACACCTCCAATGCATCTGAAATACGCACCAACTGTTCAAACAAGATCCTGCATACATGATACGCCTGAGATATTCATGAACCACATGTGTGTTGATTGTCAAGAGGACAGTGAAGAAAAACACTTGACAAAGCAATTTGAAAGCAGTTAAAGGTGCAGTCTGGTGATCCGGAAATGTCAAATAAAAAGCTTGTTATTCAATTTGTTGTTTATATGCAAGAGACGTTACGCGTAAAAGGTTGTACTCATACAGAATGTATTGAGTGTATAAACAGATTTAGCTAGCTATTGTACAGGGAATGTGTAAACAGCTACCTTTACATGTATATTAACAATATAGGCATCCAACTGGCTGTTGCCATGTGTTCCTCTGTGAAACGAAAGTTTAAACCTCGCCAAGCTATCTGACTTTGATCTTAGTTCCCCAACTCAGGAATCATTGTCTCAGGAACCATGGGAGACTAGCAGCAAAATGACAAATGAATCATGGGAGACTAGCAGCAAAATGACAAATGAATCCCAAAAGGAACTATACACCTCAGCAGAAGTCATGCACAGTCCACTGTATAGAAAGGTTGCGTTACATAGAGCTCACTATGAAATATGTAATAGTAATCAGCGTTTCTACAATGGATTCTTTATCTAGACTTTGTCTTTCTTGAGTATTTTATGGGACATTTCACGCTAAAAAGCTGATACAACGATGTTTTGAGCGGCATCATTTAATGACCATAAAAACCCATTGAATCAAATGACGCAAAAGTATTGTCCTAAAGAGGCTCAACACGGCGGCAACAGAATTCGTCTGCAACAAACAAACATCAGACACATTACAGTTTTACAAAGTGAAGTCTCTTCGGTATCTTGTGTATCCCCCTCTGGCAGCAATGGTGTCTCTGACACTTCGTCTCATGCTCTCGATGAATCTTCTGAATGTCCTCATATGGTATCGTGCGTCACTCCTCCGCTAAATCCTGAGATAAATCTTGCAGCTTGTTCATGGGAGGATCTCTCAGTTTGTCTTGCGCCCCGTAATGTCCCACATAGGCTCCAGGGGATTCAGGTCTGGTCGTCGAGCTGGCCATGTCATCGTTTCAATTGCATTGTCTTGAAGGAGCTGGTGAACTAGGCGTGTGCAGCGGAGTCGGGCACTGTCGTCCATGCATACTGGGCGACTGGCAAGAAGGGTTGTCAAAATTAGGCACCTCATGTTGATTCAGGATTTCATTTTGGTACCGCTATCCCAAGATTCCCATGAATGATTAACAAACAAATTCAGTTTAAAGTGACAAAAAAGACCCCAATCAGTAGCCCTACTCCCTGACGCTACCTAAGCCAAAATTGACTTCTTTCTGGATATTTCCCAGGCGGTAAACTGTTCCTCGTGACCGCTATACCATCGCACGACCATCAGTGACGTGCAGCAATGACCGACTTTCGTCGGACCAGTGAATACGGCGCCATGACCTCATGTTTCAGTTCTTGGGGAGACTCTCTGGTGTAGCCGCCATTGGTTCCGTGACTGAACACTGCTGATGAACGGATTGAGTCAGCCATCCTGACAAGAGCCCTGTCTTCCCTGGCATCTGATTTTCTCTGTCGCCGTCTGTCTGCTAACAGTTGTATGGCTGGTATTCAACTGTCTGCCTATAGCCCGACAAGAGATCCCGGTTCTATGCCAATAATTTGCCATTTCATTCCTTTGGACAATTTCGGCCTCCTTTTACCTCAGATATCAATTTGAATATCGCCGTCAATATTGCTTCACAGTAAACATCTGTTTATCTCTAATGAGGGCGCCATCTTCCTCGCGTGCTTTATGTGCATGTGAAACGTCTCATGCAAAAATTTTTATGCTGATATTACGCAAAAAGATGGTCTCTTCGCTGGGATGAACTATGAACGACATCACGTCCGAAATCAATGACATATTGCAATTAATATTTGGTTGTGCGTGACTTTTGCAGAGATGTATTTGTTTACATATCAATACACGGTACTGCAAAAGAATTACAATGGAAGACAAGCGCTAAAGATGCAAAATGGCCATTCAAAATAAAAACACCTGTTACAACAATAAAGTAATGTTTATAGAATGACAGTAGTCAAGCTTCCAAAATAGGCCCAGACTGGGCACTCAAGCTGTAAAAGATGATCGAAACAATGTTGGCATTGCTATTAATATGAGATGACAGAAACTGCAATGAGAGATGACCCTTCAGATACACGTTTCGCTTCTTGAACTGTTTGTAACACTTTGTTTGCTTGTTTGTTTAACACCACACTCAACAATATTCCAGTCATATGAGTGCGGTCTGTAAATGAACGCGTTTGGAACAGACAATCCAGTAATCACCATCATGCGCATCGATCTACGCAATTGGGAACCGATGACATGCGTCAACCAAGTCAGTGAGTCTGACCACCCGATCCTGTTAGTCGCCTCTTACGACAAGCATGGGTTACTGAAGACCAATTCTAACCCGGATCTCCACTGGTAATCTTGAAATACTGGGTGGGGCAACACGGGAATGGTCTGGCTGCAATGGAAACGTCCACTGCCGTCTTGATCAACGTATCTGTCCTCAACTGAGTCTTAACAGAAACAACGTAATACAGTCACAACACCGTTTTAAAATGAATAACACAAAGTCAATTTACGATTCAGACAACACCACGAGCATATCTTTATGTACCACATTGAAATAGTATTGGTACCCGGTTTAGGAAACTTGACCATATCGGCCCATTCATGTACATATGGAAGTCGATGTGCATGTCTTACACACACACCAGTACCACATGGTTATTTCTGCTTGTTGTTTTCTATGACAATACCGATGTATGAATAACAAATAATTCAGATATGAACATCTTCTAGCTGCCACACAAAGCGACTGTAAACAAAAAATAGCCATAACATTTTACAGAAAATATGAATCAAACTTCTCATTCCGATACTTTGTCTAGATTTTTTCAGGTGCGGGCCGGAGACCAGACAGCATGTGCTATTTTTATTGAATGTGCGTTTCATGTCCCAGCAGGCTAAAATTAAAAAGAATTCGTTTCTTCGTACAGACCCTACAACTTCAGGTGACCTCCACTACCTCACGTACACTTCGGCATCATCATTTCCACCGACTGTTATGGAACGCGGAAACTCACTGGAGGAGATTAAAGAATCAGTTTCTACAATAGGTTCGAAAACACTGTCATTGCTTATACCGTTTATTGTTTACCTCTTACATTACATTGACAACTTTTCTTTGAAAAGAGAATCTAGTATTTCTTAAACGAACAGACTTGAACAAGCAGGTCATAGTTCTGAAAAGTTCATCTTATTTCACTTTACACATATAATTGTCTCTACATTCTTAGCGTTGCACAAAATGTACCCTCAAAAACATGATTACGAGACTGACAGACGTTACAGTTATTTAAAGGTGTAATGTTTGACGCAAATGCTCTAATACGTTTCTTGTATGATGCAAGATTTATAACTGATTTGAATAACATATTTACTACTTCAAGGAATATTCTCATCAGTGATGTTCAAAACATTTGAAGCTGAAGGCAAGTTTAGGAACCTCACCTCACGTCTGAGAGAGGTCATCGACAAAGCAGGTAGAACAGTTGTGGGCAGATCCATGGCTGCAATATGCAACTTGAAGAACTGTGACGCTCGTCCCGATACCGTTATCTGTGACGCTCTGTTGATATCGAAATCCATTCCCCAACACTGCTCACCTTCATTGAGGACAACGAAGACAGTGATGGAAGTATCTCAGCCTTTAACATCGAGGGCACAGATGACTCAGAGGAAGAAAGACAATACAACAAATCCGTAGCCAAGGCATTGACGTATGCACGATATTTCACGGATGAACCATTTGATGTGATCTACGGAGTTATCAGGTCCGAAGATACTAAGACAACCAAAGCATTTAACAGGAGACTGTCAACATTGAAAGAAGAGACATCAACATATAGTATTGGTAGTAATCTGTTGATGTCTGAAGAAAGATGTTTGAAAATCCACAAAGCCTTCATCATGATGTCTGCTCTATCTGACCATCGGTCATTGGTAACTGTTGATGAGGATACTGGCAGGGCGTCCCACTATGTTACACCTGTGGACATGTACCGTAAGCTAATGCTTCACATAGATTCCATCTTCAGTGCGAAAAATGAATCACACAGAGATGAGACTCTGAATTTACTGTTGAATGAACGAATCTCTAAAACAGGAAAAAGGGAGGTGGACAAGTGGAAAAGGTAAAACAAAGTTTTGCATTTCTGTTGCAAACGTACGAAAGTAGAGCTACAGAAGAAGATATCATCCTTGTATCAAAATTTAATAATAATAATTTAATGAGCTTTTAGAAAATAGGCTCTATTATCGACCTTGATATTCATCATTTCATTTCACAATACTTAAAATATATGGAAAAAAAGAATCTGGCATAGATGAAATAAGATTATTATCATGTGTTTCTAACACAATACTGAAGCTTAATGATGTGATGATGTGCAACATTGTCTGATATGTTTCAGTGGAACGGGTACGGCAGATGATGTAAACATTGGCGAGCAGTCTGTATTAAAAGAAAAACGACAACGTGACAAAGGTACTTTGCTTTTTGATTTATCTCCTGTCTGAATTGTGAAAAATAAAATCATCATTCCTTATTAAAGATCATACATCGTTTATTCCTGATATTCCTGATAAACTAAACTAGCCAGGCATATAATGATTATATACTACCCACATAAAGAAACTGTGCATTGTCAAAATATTATCCCAGTTGATAAGTACGATAACAATGTCAAAGGTACATATAAACTTTAATGGAGGGATCATGAGACCATAACAAGTCAGGAGAATTTCAATTGAAAAGTCAATCACAATGACGTCACGAGTCCACAAGCGGGACAGGGGTCAAACGACCATGTCACAAGCTCAATAACGGGTATGTCCACCATCGGCATTGAGAACAGCAGTGCATCGACGACGCATAGAGCCTATCAAACGTGCAAGGAAGGCTTGTGGGATGTCACGCCAGATTCTCTCAAGTTCTGTTGCAAGGTCAAGGACGTTATCTGGCGGATGAGGGAAGACGGCGTAGACGTCGATCCATCTCGTCCCAAACATGCTCTATCGAGGGAGAGATCGGTGAATTTGCAGGCCAAGGCAGTAAGTCAACGTTGTGGTGTTGCAAGAAATCCATAGCAACCCTTGCCGTATGAGGGCGGGCATTGTCCTGTTGGAATGTTAACCCAGGGCCATGACGTTGCAGAAGGAATTGCCACAGGTCGAAGAATCTGATCCCTGTAGCCCACACACCAGTTAAGTTGCCCTGAACAATCACCAAAGGAGTTCTTTGGCGTGCTGTTATTCCACCCCAAATCATCACGGAACCACCACCAAAGCGATTCCTCTCCAAGACACAGGCCTGTGCATAACGTTCTCCCACGCGTCTATAGGCACGTTGACGTCCATCACTATGGGAAATGTTAAACCTGGACTCATCTGTGAAAACAACATTTCTCCACCAAAACAAGGGTCTGCGGACATGATTTCGGCACCACATTCGGCGAGCTTGTCGATGACGTTGTGTCAGGATAGGCCGTATGGCGGGACGTCGTGGTCTGATCCCGTGATGACGTAAACGTTGTCGAACTGTGTTGGGGTGGATACGGCGAAGTCCTGGGATGGTTCGGGCAGTCATCACTGCAGTCTGAAACCTGTGGCGAAGATGGGTCACCCTTATCCATCTGTCCTGTCTTGGCGTTGTTACGCGTGGACGTCCATAACGTGGCCGATCGATGACGTCATTTGTGTTCTGGTAGCGTCTCACCAGTGCAGAAATGGTGTTCCGGTGGCAGTGGAAATGTGCAACCACTTGTCGTTGAGACATTCCCCCACGGACCATCCCAATGGCCTCATGACGTTGTGCAGACGTGAGCCTTGGCATGCTATGCTTTTAGTTCTTGAACGATCGCAAGGGCAGGGGTTGAAACTTTCCAAAGTGACAGTATTGAGTGGCATTCATTTGCTCTGTTTCTCTTTCCCGGAATGCACACGTGCAACAACGTATTGCACGTCTCAAGGACGAACCCACTGACGTCACGGAACGTGGCACGTGCATGCATGTTGGATACATGTCACAAATCTCTGAGTTTAAATCCTTATGTGTCTACACAGGTTTGATAAATTTAGATTTAAATTTTTGTATGCACAGTTTCTTTATGTGCCTGGTATAATTATGTACCCGTAGATCGGTTGGAAACATATGATCTGTGGATACGTTAAGGGGCGTACAAAAAGTGTTGGATTTATCCTTGACAGGCTAAGATTGACGCGAGCATTTTAGTGTGACGACCAAATGCTTGGTTCACGTACAAGCTGTCAAACAGGACTCATCAACTTTAACAGAAACTTGTCCTCTCCTTTTTACTTGCAGGTAAATACGCAAAACACAATACAATGTGTCTCCGCAGCAGGCCATTGGAACAGATACCACAAAACATGACAGTGAAGGGTATCCGGTTTTTCTCGGGATCACTTTGAATCTATGACCGAAAGCATAACTCTATCTGGAAAACCATGTGGGACTGGCTAAAATAGAATGTCATGACGTCATTGTGACTGTTCCGCACAAGATGCTGGTTTCTGTACTGGCGGTAGAGCTAGAACTTCAGAAATGTAAAGAGTTTTCCACTGATAAGAAATATTTTGGAACAACCTATCTCGGATCAAACAGAATCGAAGCATGCGCGCAATCCACAGTTGACATTTTAGATTTCAAGTTGCGTGACAAATTAACACTTCTTATAACTATTCCAGATCCGTCAAATATGTTATTCAAAGCTCCAGCGGATTATTCGCTGAACAAAGTGACACACATTGGCAATGATGGTGCTAAGCAAGATCAAATATGGTCGATGTGAATAGCACTCGTGGTCCTGTTGCTCTTTGCTGTGATCAGTATGACTGTATATATGTCGCCATGAAGAACAACACGATTGCCGTGTTTGAATATGTTTAAGAGAACTTTAAAGACGTCGAAAATAATGGAAAACATTACAGTGCCTTTATATTGTCTAACAAGGAAGGATAAATTGGCCTCCAGAGTCCAATGCGCGGCGTCTGATACCTCACCCGTAGTATCGTGTTTCCAGTCTTATTGACTTGATTGATCATGTGTCGTCACACCCTTGCGGGGTTCCATATTGCACAATGGGCCAACAGCTTGTTAGTTTGGCAAGGATCGACTGTTGCTTCAAACGATAGACCAGTGCAGTGGAAACTATAGATCAACAAGGAAGTCGATGTAAAAAAAGGTGTGTACATTGATCGGTATATTTCCTTCTCGCGAGATGGTAACGTTGTTGTAGGTGATGTCAGTAACAGCACAATCACCAAAGTCTCCCTGGCTGGCGAGTGTATATTTCAGTGCAGAGAGGCTCAGTGTACCCGAGGTGTGGCTGTCAATTCAAAGGGAGACATTTTCTTTACGGACTATACGCTGAACAAAGTGACAAACATTGGCAATGATGGTTCTAAGCAAGATCAAATATGGTCCGATGTGGATAGCTTTTGTGGTCCTGTTGCTGTTTGCTTTGATAAGTATGACTGTATATATGTCGCCATGAAGAACAACACGGTTGCCGTGTTTGAATATGTTTAAGAGTGTCGATGTCGAAAATAATGGAAAACATTACGGTACCTATTTTTACCTATAAATTGGTGCTCCAGTGCTCGATGCGTGTTGTGTGATCCCACCGCGGAGATTAGGTTTCCAGACTGATTGACTTGATTGATGATGTGTCGTCATACCCTGGAATGGTGTACACTGCACAATGTTCAAGCATATAAGTTTTCCCAAAGATTGACTGTTCACCCAGTCGACACACCAGCGCAGTGGATACTAGAGGTCGATAAAGAAGTCGATAAAGAAATCCTTTGTCCAAACTGTTGAGCACAGTGAGCGTCTGTTCGTGCGCGCGTGTGTTATATGAATCAAACAGACTTCTGCCAAGAAGATGAACTCAAGATTTAGGTATATCATTGGTCAGTTCGTTCACTAAGTATCTGATAAAATATTTCTTTCCTTTGATCTACCCGTCTCATGTATAAGACAAAGGGACCAGCTAAATGGGTAATCGTGCGTAAACCCCAAGAATCCTTTCATGTCTAGCACTGGACAACACTTCATAAGACAATGTTTTGTGTACTATCGTGCATGGTCTATCAAACAATGCGGGAGGAACTGGGTCCTGTACTGGGACCAAAGGGACAGTGGGAACACATTATTTGTATTTAGCCAGACGGACCAGTAAACAGTACTGGTTACCTTCGACTCAGATATAGACATATGATTTAAGTGACGCTTTATTGGATTCATGCAACACGGTATAATCAGAGCCTACTCCATATACAATTCAACATAGATAGCGTTATAGTGCATCCTGTGATCAGTGTCCCCTATACAGACAACATGCATGACCACATGCTACACTGAGTATAGTCCCCTTCTCAATATACAATTCAACATAGATAGCGTTATAGTGCATCTTGTGATCAGTGTCCCCTATACAGACAACATGCATGACCACATGCTACACTGAGTATAGTCCCCTTCTCCATATACAATTCAACATAGATAGCGTTATAGTGCATCCTGTGATCAGTGTCCCCTATACAGACAACATGCATGACCACATGCTACACTGAGTATAGTCCCCTTCTCAATATACAATTCAACATAGATAGCGTTATAGTGCATCTTGTGATCAGTGTCCCCTATACAGACAACATGCATGACCCCATGCTACACTGAGTATAGTCCCCTCTGTATAGAGCATGTGGACATATGATTTACCTGGAACCTCATGGGACTTCGATCTTTGCATTGACTTCAATAAGTGACCGAAAACGTTGGTTACAGCAAATGTATGTGATTTTGGTGTGTTTTGTTCCTTATTTTTAATCCAGTAACCCGTTGTGATATCTTAATGTTATTCACAAGTTCTGTCAGCACTGTGACAGATAAGACGATTCTGAGAGATGCGGCCAATGCTTACTAATTACAGATGACATTTCATTCATTAGTATGAACTTATACATGGTTTGCAGGGCTTCTCAGTGACAATATCACTTAAGCGTGTAACATTTACTCTTAAAAAAAGTTGGGGAACCTGAGCTTTGAATTGGACAGGAATTATAAGCGTTAACAAACTGTTACGGTAGACAACTTACGAACGGACCACCATTTCTCTTTATCACCACCCTAAACACAAAGCATGTGATGCACGTGCACAACGCAATAGCCCCATACACGTGCATGATGTGTCATTCTTGATTTTGACTGCTGTCAAGGTCCATAAATCACTGTAGACCATTAATTTTGACCAATCGCCTTGCATCACACAGTTGTTAGTGTTTGTTTCTTTCTAGCAGTTTTTTTTTTTTTTGAAAATGAAAATCGTACACAGGCATATTTTTTCACGTCATACACCGATTATCTTTAAAGAGCGTTACTGTACAAACAACTATAGTCATAAGGAAGTGCACGTGGTGATGCACTCTAAATACTTTCATTATTATAATATCAACTTTGACTGATTCCTATATATATCTCCCAATGTTTTTTTCAGTCGTAATTACAAATGAAGTTCACCCTTTCTGTGAAGTGTATATCTATTATACATGAAATACGATTAATCTTTATCACAGCAACTTTGATTAGAACTCTGCTCAATTATTATAATTATTTACGAACTTTACGCTATGTTTTAGCGCTTTGAGCACACTTTGGTGTGGAGTTTAGCACAATATAAGAATCCATATTATTATTATTGTTATTATTATTTATGACCCAAATCATCAACATGATGCCGCATCTTGTACCAGATAAAAATAATACTCATTATTTCTGTGTATTTTACTTAGTTACTTATTTTATTTACTTACTTACTTTACTTCTGTATTTTACTGATATTAACAACTTTACCTTTTTAAACATATCTCTTGTATTTATTCAATGTTAAAAATAAATAGTCTATGGTGTTTATCATAGAGCATGAGCTTTGTCTTCCATGCATTCTTCCCGAAGCATCTTCAACCGCTTGATCAATCCTCATTCATCATAAACTGACGTTATTTGTAAGGATATCCCACGGACGTCCTCATTCCTCCTCGCATTGACAGTTCTTGGAGAACTTTCTGATCAACGCATGAGTTGCATTGATGCACAAAATGTACAACTTACAACCCAGTTGTACGTATCCGTATGACAGTGCTTTAACCGCTTCAATTAGCAGTAATGTCGAAGGTAAATATCGCCGTTTAATACTGCACGATATATCGAAAGCTTTGACCAAGGCATCCTGAACGCCCGATATAGTGCAACAACCACTACGTTATATTTCATGGTCTAATCAGAGCCCCCTGTATACAACAAACAGTGCGATATACTTCAAAGTGTTGCCAACGTCACCTATGTATACAACAACCACTACGTTATATTTCATGGTCTAATCAGAGTCCCCTGTATACAACAAACAGTGCGATATACTTCAAAGTGTTGCCAACGTCACCTATGTATACAACAACCACTACGTTATATTTCATGGTCTAATCAGAGTCCCCTGTATACAACATACAGTGCGATATACTTCAAAGTGTTGCCAACGTCACCTATGTATACAACAACCACTACGTTATATTTCATGGTCTAATCAGAGTCCCCTGTATACAACATACAGTGCGATATACTTCAAAGTGTTGCCAACGTTACCTGTATAAATGGCATCTATTCCATGCTAATCGGTAAAATCACAGGTAGGTGCATGTCATTCCGGTATACCGGTATATCGCAATACGTTTTTCAAACGGTACGTATTGCAATATGTTTTCTGAGAACCGGTATATTGGGTAAATAACATACATGGAATGTTTGTGATTATCTTTATGGTTTAAATTAAAATATACACAACATCGTTCACAACAACTTCTTTCCTTCGTTATTCAATGACAAAACAGCATACTGTAATACTATATATTGTATAAAAAAGAATACAGAATCCCTGACTATACAACCTACCTTTGAGATTGCAGTTATCAGAACTATAACATATATGTTTAGGGACTTATAATGTAGAAAATAGGATTGACATGCACAATTAGTGTCACTCACTGTCAAACACTTAAGTTCCCATTATATCGCAATACGTATTGCAATACGGGTACCTGAATCGCTATACATTCCAATACAACATATTAGCCAATACACAGCCCTAACAGAGACCCCTCTGTATACAGTTCAACATACATCGCGTTATGCTACACGTTGTGTTCAGTGTCCTGTCTGGATACAGACAGCATGCATTGAAATTATGCTATGCTGAGTAATCACGGCCCCTTCTACATAGAGCAACGACATACATGCGGTGTAACAGTGCCGCTTATGTATACAACAGGCATAGCATTACACTGCACAGGAAAGCTAGTATATCTCTGTATGCAAGTACCTCTACAAACGTCGCCTTACACAACGCAGTACAACT